GCGTTTTTTTTTTATTGAAAAATAAAACATCTCAAGTTTCATATTCTAAATATAAAAATTTAGAAAAAAAATTCTATTGAAAATGCATCGACAGTCATCAGTTAATTTATTTTTCAAATTAGCATTGTTTTTGAAAGAATATTAATGTAAATATCTAAATCTAATTGAAGTAGTTTTCATCGAAAATTTTCATATTCACTTTCTAATGCTGATATTTATTTGTACATTGATTCAACTGTTTTTAATCAATATAGTGAACAGATGTTGTTTGTTGAAGAAAGTATGTGATATAAATGAATTTCTTGTTTAAAATTTGATAACTGTCGATGAAATTCATCGATAGTATGAATTAGAAACTGAATAGAAAAAATAGTTTAATATTTGGTTATTCGTTATGAAATCATTAAATGTGATCATTTATCTGTTGTTTTATGAAAATCAAATAGAAAATCACAAACTTTTGAAGTTTTTCTTTATATACTGAGATTTAATTCATTTTTTTTGTTTATCATGGGACACTTTTTTAGAGTAATGTGTTTTTTTACCATCATTGATATATTCAGAATAGTTTTATGGTAAGATTGTATTTCTCAAAAGATCAGTACTGTTAAGAATATTCAACATACTGATAAACTCTATACTTGAATAACTATATACTACAATTATCTGCATTTGATCAATATTTATTAATTATGAACAGAAAATGAAATAATAGAGATTAGTAATTGAAAAAAAATTAGATTCTTCTTGTTTATAGTTAAAATTAATAGTTTTAGATTTAGTTGAAAGTTTTATTGTTCATAATACATTGAAAAAATAAGAATGTATCTATTGATCGATAATCTCTTTAGAAAATTCAATATATTTAAGAAAATAATCGTTATACAGCATGCTATATAATTCATAAAATTAAATATTTTACTGCAATATCAATCACTACTTTTAATTATAGCAGCTAATACTTCAGTAAGAATAGTTGCACCAAGCAATACAATATAAAACTGATTTATTCAATTGATCATTTCACGGAATAATGATCTCATAAAAGCTGGACTGTCATGGCTGAATGATTATGTTGTTCGACATTTATCCACAAGGTGCTGTTTGCAAACCTCAATACCACGAGCCATGCAATGATCCTCAACCAGATGAAGATTTCAAGCAATTGAGCTCAAGAACTCTGTGATAGGCCAGCCTTCTGTTCAGCGCCACAGTTGATGATAGTTGTAGGAAATATTTCGTGCTATGCACTCTACCGTTAGACAGCATTTCATTTCACAAGGGAACTCGACGGCAGGGATATTCTTCCCTCCTCATAAAAGTTGGGTGAATAATATTTTCACTCATTCGAAATATGGCTATATTGAAAATCGTTAAGTATTTAAAGAGTTACATCAAATTGTTTTACGAATTTTCTAGTATGAATCAATGCCAAATAGAATAAAACAGAGAAAAACTATTTATATGTTGATTTAGTAAAATAGTGCTTTCTATTTATTGTACGTTCGTGTTTTGTACAATTTGAGAATTAATACTGATCATACAACGTAAGCCATAGTTAGATAGGGAAAGTATGAAACTGAATATTTTCGTTACATGAAGTTTTTACATTCATAGTAACAGATCAAACGAGAGAAACGCCTCTGGTCATAAACTTTAAGCTCTCGGTTTCAAATGATTATGCCAACATTTTAAACTATTGTAGTTTCCAAGTAATTTGCATAATCTTAACTGTATTGGTCACAAATGAAACTTTGTTTTTGCCTTGAATATCGGTGGAAACAAAAAAAAGAATTTTATTTATAAAATACTTTTTATTATCAAGACAAACAAACCATCGAACTCTTTGTTTTCCTTGAATGAACAACGTGCAATTCTATTTTATTAACTATTCCATTAATAGCAGTTCTCATTTAACATATTGAAAGTGTAAATCAATCTTTGATTTTATTTTAAAAATCTCATAAAAAGATAGACAATAACTAATGTCAAAATTAGAATTACTCTCGATTATTCTCCTCAAAAATAAATACTAATAGTTAATCATAAAAGCATTAAACCAATACGCATAACCTTTATTCATTCTAAAAACTTTTTTGTATTATATAAGAAAAGATGAAATAATATCTGTTTTTTTAAATTTGGAATTGTTTGTTCTTGATTTCATTTGTTTTGAATAATTTGGCCACCGAATTTGGCCACTAAAAATAGAAAGAAAATAAATTATTATTCGTATTACTATCATATGATATTAACCTTTGTTGTTGATAGGCAATTGGGCATGAGATTTGACAATATAATCTTTTATTTCGGGTAATTCATTTATTGTTTTCAAAAATCGTTTCACATTAGAATATTTATCAACTAAACTTTGTTCGTCATCCAATAATAAAGCAGAATCAATGTAGGAATACAATTGAAAATCAGCTACAGTTGGTGCATCACCAACAGCAAATTTTGTATTATATTTGCCAAAATAATTATCCAATTTTTGTAAATATTCCGATACAGTTGTTTCAACAAATTTTTTTCTTTCTTCTTTTGATTCTCCTTTTGGACTATAACAAACTCCACTTAATGCCGAGCGAAGATCATGAGCTTCTTCACATAACATCATCACTCGTGCTTCTTCATTTAGATTCTTTCCCATAAGACTGAATTTACGTCCAAGGTAATATAAAATAGCTTTTGATTGAGTAATTTTAAAATCACCATCAAATAGATATGGTAAATTAGGAAAATCTAAAATATCAATAAACTAAATGTAAGAAAACAAATAAATATTGATTTACCAAGACCAAGATTTTGTTTTTCACTAAGCCATTCTTGTCGACTATATTCTGGACCTTCACCTTGTACATATAATTTGTCTGTAAACGGTGTTTTAGTGTAATGTAAAGCTAAACGAACTGGTTCTGCCAAGCCACGAATTGCCCAGTAGCCAAATACAATTTGATTTTTATCACTGCTCGATTTAGACATTTTTATTTTATTTTAAAAACAATCTAAAATAATTTATATACAAAATGTTGTTAAAAGTGAATAGGGTAAACGAGTGTGATGTTTAAAGCAAATAATGTTATATTATTCACTCTTCCTCGTTGTGAAGCTTATATTCAGACAAAAAGCGAGCAGAAAAAGAAAAAAATACACGACTCAGTAAAAAAAACACATGATATTTGCTCTATATTTTTCTTTTCGATACGTCTTACTTTCAACCAAATTTATATGATACCGAGATGTTTTTGGCCTCTATCTACACTAGACAAAATTCATTTCGAATTAAAAATTGACACGCATCCACACTTATGAGTTTAATGCATCAATCAGAACTGAGAAACGGCCTCTACAATGTAGTTGAAGTGCATAATTCTAACACGTATTCACGAAATAAGATGTCGCTTCTATCTCTTCTTAATAATCAATGATCGACTAATGAAATTTATTAACAATGTATCTACCGTTCTAACTTATTTCTTTCAACTACTGATTCGTTAAATATTGTAGTATTGCTTATTCTTATGCTTCCGTCCCTATTTCCTTATATTCTATAGTTCGTCGTATTGAAAATGTCTATCTGTTAATGATATAGAGCGATTTTATCAAGATACATTAATCATTTTAATTAGTAGATCAGTTTCTTAATTTAATGTTTAATTCATCGAAACTGTTTCAAGCCTAAATCTGGTCTAGTATACTGTCTTCCAGGGAAAAAATCGTTTTATTCGACCTTTCAAAATCAGATGCTTTGCTCACCATCCACATCTATAGATAAAATCACCCAATGAAAAAAAACAACAAATTCGATTTTATTCTATAATAACACAAGAAAGTGAATAACTTAACGATGTTCGTTTTGGGAGAAAATGTTTTTTTTTCGAAACGCATCATTAAGAAGATTTTTACCTACCTAGTCGACTTTCCCGAATGAAATCCACAGGGAATCCCCACAAATTATGAAATCTCTGGGGAGACCGTTATGGGACTCCCCAGGAGTTAATCGAAAACCGAGCAAATCCGCTGGAGGGAGTCCTTGAGAAATCCCTAGGGACTCCCTGGACGATCATTTGAGGAGTCTCTAGGAATTTCTCAAGGACTCCCAAAAAACTTCCTCCAGCAGATTTGGTGGGTTTTCGATTAACTTTCGGGGAGTTCCATAACGGACTTCTCAAAGATTTCACAATTTGTGGGGACTCCCTTGGGATTTCATTCGAGAAAGTCGACTAGGGCTGATAACAAAGGAGAATAAAATGGAATAATTGCCGATGACACGTATCACAACATCGAGTTCTTTATTTGTTAAATCAATGACATAAAAAGAATAAAGAGCTGTACTATTGAAAAGGAAATCGTTTCGAACAGATCTCTGGAAAGTTTATCTCAAACTAGAGATAGTATGTTCGAATCAGAACAAAATTAGAAATCCTCTGATAAATTATCACTTCAAAGAATCTATTTTCCGATATCTATAACTCAAAACGCATCAGTTACTTTCCAATCTGTTTTAGGAAGCTTGAGTTATTACTCTTTGATATCTTGCCAATGTATCGAATGCCAATTTAGACAAAAAAAAATACAATAAAGTATCATTTTTGGTAATCTATTAGACCCTAGATGACTGATGTTTTTGTTATCAGATTATAATTTAATTTATGAACTTGATTTACAGTGTTGAGCTGATAATTCTTATGGTACAATTTAGGTATAAAAAAAATCCCAAATTTAATACACCATCGAATGAAAAATTTCTTGTGATAGGACGCTCTCTGTAAAGATTTTTTTAGACCGAAACCGTTTTTTGTTTGTGTAGCTTCCTTAATTGTTGCTATAGTAGTTGTTTTCCGCTTGCAAAATAGCAAGTTTATACCAAAGTTGACGCTGATTTGTTCTATTTGATTTTCTTCTATTCTTTTTCAATATCTACTTGTTGTAACTGTATTTTTATCTTAATCAATATGCTTCGAATTTCTCTCTAATAGAAAAGTATAAAAATGTCGATCATGTGTGCTCTATGTCGTCAAATAGGAGAAAGAACTCAGTCGACAACAGTAGTTAATGTTTATGTTGAAGAAAAACTAAAAGAATCGTATGAAGATATACATGATATCCCTTTATTGACAGAAATATTCAATCAACAAATGCGCACAGATAATACTATGAGACACCATTGTCGTTATACATATACATTCAAAGACAAACTATCATCAGCTAAAGTACGAAACTGTTTGTCAACTCATCATTTATTACCTGTTGCTTGTACAAATTATGAATTTCTATCATTATTGATACCAACAGCACCACATCAACCGCTCAACATTGTCAACAAAATTTCGTCAATGCGGCCAATGTATTCTTCGACTTGACTTATAGTACATATGTTAAAAAACGTCATCATTTATGCTGAACTGCAATGAAGAGATAGTTTAATTCGTAATATATTTCACAGAAAGAAAAAAGATGAACTAATCCATGAAAAAAAGTTTGTAGAAAAAAGAACGGTCGAGGACGCGTTTTTTTCAAGTAATAAAACGTGTTCTGAAGTCGGTTTTCACGTTTTTTTTTTGAATGCATTCTTTCGCGAAAAAAATGTATGCTGACAATAATAGAACAGGGTCACATAGAACACGTTCGAACATGTTCCGTAAGGTACGAGTTCATATAGATGAGAAACGCAGTCAGTAAAAACGGATCCGAACAAATTCGTAGTAAAAATGAGCACGTTGTTTCTCAAGACAAACTCGTTCTCATTGAACATATTTCTCACCAATGTGAACTTGTTCTTTATGGAATACGTTCGAATGTGTTCTGTGTGATTTTGTTCTATTATTATCAGAATGCGTGCTCGGCCGTTCTTTTTTATAAGCTTTTTTCATGGGATGTGCTCTTGCAATTTAACAAGACTTTATTATCTGTATTTAATATCAATTTTTTAGTTGCTAATACCGGTGTCGTTATTACCATATAGTTTATTCTGTGACACGTTTCTACGCACACCATGTGATAGCAATTCGTGTATGCACACCTATTTTATAAACTTTCATGTTTGACTGAGAAGTTGTGCGATGGTACACAAAGTGAAAACGTTCGAATAATTTTGTCGTTTGTGTTTCAACATATTTTATATCTCTTTTAGCTTACATTTGATGTGTAACTAAACCAGCAAGAATCATTATATTTATGACTATCGACCTGTGATTCATATTTCTTAGCAAGCATACTTAATTTACATCTATTCCTTTTTTATTTATTTGACCCACCAGGTGAGGAGAAGACTCATTTTTTATAAATAGACCTTAAAACACAAGATAATTTCGTCGTGTATTTACGTTCGGTAGTAGCTAGATAATTGCTTGGCTGCGCACGCCTTTTTGTTTATGTATTAACTAAAGAAAAGAAAAGAAATACATGAATAGTTCATAACCATAACGAATCACATTTTAGCTATTTCTTTGTGCATGCTTATCTCTGATATTCTTCATGATACACTTGATACAAAAAAAATGAAATGAGCGATAGACAACCTCTGTTAAACGCATTCACTAAATTATCTATCGATGATGACGATGATCATGGGACCAAGAAACATCCTTTAATCAATAGGTATGATCTAATAAATTACCAATCTCGAGAAAAATATAATGAATTTACCATTATTCATAATTTTTCTGGTTGATGCCAACGCTTCAGTAGAAACGAAAACAATAACAATTACATAAAATTAGGTGATGATACTGAACATAATGACAAAAATGAAGCAGTTGGTGTTTTCCATTTAGTAATTGGATTGAAACGGAATACAAACTGAATGATGTATTTGATTTTATTGTAGTTTAAGTTTGAAAATCATATCGATTTTGTCCTAATGTCCGTTGCAATGCGTTTGGCAGTGTTGCATGTGATCTGCATTGTCGGTAATCTAATTTTCTTTGGTCAGCTCACACGTATATTCCCTATTAAGTCATTTGGCGATAATCGTGATCATCAATACCAAAATTTAATAGTTCCAATGAAGGTCAGCAATATGTATCCTCAAGGCATCAAGTTCAATACAGTGAAACCTTCTTATGTGAACAGCTCTCTAAAATAGACCTCTTCGTGTTGTGGATACCTTCCGATTCTTCGTCCCGAGCTGTTTTTGCTGGAAATAAACTTCTTGAATGTGGACACCTCGCTATTCTGGACTGTTGAACACTTCCTTTCGGTCTCTTCTGCAGTAGATAGCCTCTCAATAATGCACACTTGTTTAATTTCACCATACTTTTTTTATTCAGTGAAAGCTGTACATGTATATATGTCCTAATTTGATTAATATGACGAGTAAAAGAATCGATAGTGGATAAAATTGGACGAAACAAAGAAGAAATTAGAGAAAACTAGAATGGATTAGTCTGAACAAAACAAAAGAAGAATAGACGAGTGAGAAAAAGAACAGTAAACAAGATAGATATAAAATGCAGTGAAGAAGTAGGAATTGATCATTTCTTCATTTATTTACATATGAAGCTACACGAATTGATTCTCAAACACAAGATCTCATTGATCAAAGATAACAACAGTGGTTATGATCTTTCAGTACATAAATTAGCAGAAAAGTACGCAATCTCGAACAGCAGCGTCGTCAACACCTTGACTCGCCGCACCGAATATCAGAGTGACTATCTGAATCATACTAACAAGAGTATCAAGCCCAAATTGAAGGATGAACCAAGCAGATATATCGATGAAGTTCTCTTCGAATAGTTCATGGCTCAACGAGTAAAGAACATTCCGATAGCAGGTCGATTATTGCAAGAAAAAGCATGACAAATTGCCGAAGAACTCGGTCTTCTGCCAGGCGAATTCAAGACATCCAGTAGATGGTTGGAAAAATTTCGAAATCGACATATGATCGGATACAGACAAATCTCAGGTGAAAGTGCAAGTATATGCACAACAACTACGGAGGAATAGAAACATCGACTTTTGACAATGATCAATGGATACAGCGACAATGATGTGTACAGTGCAGATAAGACAGCACTGTTGTTTAAAGCGATACCGGACCGATCACTTGTTCTCAACAAAGAACAATGCAGAGGAGGAAAGCATTCGAAAGAACGATATACTATTTTGCCCTGTTCAAATTGTATGAGGTTCGATAAACTGGAACTCTTAGTCATTTGTAAGTATTCATGCATAGCATTCAGAAAAATTGTTATCTATATTTTAGGAAAAAGTCGACAATCACGTTGCTTTAAATATTAGAACATAACCAAATTTCCTGTAATATGGAGAGCTAATCGAACGGCCTGGATGGATGCGAAACTTTTCTCTGAATGGCTTATCGACATAAATGAGAAAATGAAGAAAGTTCTCGTCAAATTCTTCTCTTCCTGGACAATGCTCCTTGTCATCTCGTCGACGTACAATTATCTAACATCAAGCTAGTTTTCTTTCTACCCAACACGACTAGTATAGTACAACCTCTTGATCAAGGTATTATCCGTTCTTTCAAATGTCATTATCGTCGAATGATCGTGAAATACATCATTGCTCAATGCCCCATGGCGTATAGTATTGATCAGATTACAGTGATAGCACTTGATGCTATTCGATAGATCAATGAAGCATGGAACACAATTACAAACATCACCATTCGTAATGTCTTTTGTGCGGCTAGCTTCTCTTGCATCTCATCTGATCAACACACTTCAAAAAATGATATCACATCAAAAGATGACGATGACAACCAAGATTCGATCGAATACCTCAATGAACTTCTCTTTCACTTGCGCATCGATGGTAACCGGATGTCGACTAGCGAACTAGTTAGCATCGACTCTAATATTTCTGTCTTCAATTCGTAAAATGACAACAGCGATCTCCTTGTTGAAATGGTCGATGCTTATGTCATTGAAAATATCGAAGACATCTAAGAAGAGGAATCAATTGAAGAGATACCTTCAAAACTATTCAAAGCGCTCGATATATTGCGAAAGTTACATCTATTCGCGTCGAAAGAACAACATGAACATTACGGGCTTATCAGCGAATTTAAGTCGAGGACGAATGACTTTTATCATGATACAAAAGTATCTAAACAAAGTTTTATAACTGGCTTTTTCAAAATGTATTGATGAAATTCAAAAAGCTTTCAATAAGTTATGTTAGAAAAGTAGTTTTCTATAAAATATGACATAAAATACCATCAACATGTCTTCCTTTGCAAAATAATGTCGAGAAAGAAGGTTTGACTTGCCACATTAACTGCAGAAATTACTACTAAGAAAAAACAGTGAAAACCTCTCAAAAGTGGACACCTCCCTATAGTGGACACTTTGAAATGATCCCTTAGGTATCCACTATAGAGAGATTTTACTGTATAACTAACTGCATTTCAAAACTAAGAGTTATCTAGGATTTTGGCAATCTCGGATTTCAACTATTTAACTGTATGGTTGATGGATCTCTTAATTTTCAACTGATTCTAGTCTAGAGTTTTCAAAAGCATTTCGATCGAACATTATTTGGTCCGAGTGAATAATTCATCCTTAGTCTCAATCCTGTCTATTTCTTGAGAAAGTTTGGAAGTATTTTTCAGGATCCTGAATATCAAGGATTTTGCCAAGCTTTATTCAGGATCTTGTTTGAGAATCTTAGTAATTCCTGTCTGTAAGGTATGTCATGGTCAAATAGAATTCTTTCCAGAGCGTATTCAACTTCCTGCTTAGATTGTTTGATGAATTAAGGATGCACGGTCTCATTAATTCATCGAAACGCTTTTATATGTGCAAGACTCTTTATATATTCAACAAGTATCATTTGATAAAAGACAACAGTGATCAAGATATTCAAATAATTGCAAGTAAACGCTTGTTTACATATTGTAAATTAACCATTGTTTTTCTTGTTGTGTAAGAAAATCTTAAAATAGTTTTAAATGTATTGGTTAAGAAGATCGAAAGAAATTTTTCTCTTTAAGCTATTCATCACATTTAAAATCTGTTGCATCACCAAAATGTTATTGTTTTATTTTTTATAGTGAAATAATAAACGAAATGATTTAATGGAATCTTGAATATTCCAATAACCGAAAATAAGTTAATTTTATCACGTTATTAGTTAATTTCAAATAAAAAATAAAAATATAACAGACCATGTTAGTATGCTTCTATCTATAAAAAGGTATGATTTTTTGCTTCGAGAACCAAAATGAATGCCAGAAAAAATACATAAAATTCATTGATATTTTCATATTTTTGATTTAAGCCTTTAATAAAAATATAAAATCTCTGATTGAACAACAATTTTATACATCATCACAAACAACACATTGTGTGTCGGATGAGTTTTAAGAAAAAAATACGTCAGAAGCCTACTATGT